CCAGACTCGTGCGCTGTCCCTTCAAAGGACGAGAGGCTGTCGCGACGCGTCCTCGCTTTCACCGTCGTCTATTTTTAACACAAATTATTCTGTCGAAAGGATCAAGTGATTCAGAAGAGTACGAGACAAAGTTTCTTCGAGTAGTATCTTCAAATAGTCATCACGACACACGAAATAAATTAATGATTTATTGCAAAGGGCTTTATCTTTGATATGTCATATTATAATGGAGTGATACAGTGATACATACATATATATATATATACATATATACATATATAAAATATAGAAATTATAATATCGCTCTAGAAATGTGATAGTTGCACGTATTCGCGGATCTGTGTGCTTTTATTAAATCGAGCAAAGAATGAATATTCATTAACTCATCGTAAAAGAAATTGCGGAAAGTGTCGTTTTAATTGGTTTGAGGAAAATGTCTCTTATCGTTATCATCTACTTTCCATCGTGCGCGTAATCAAAGAAATTTTAAACTCACCGAGGCACAAAGTTCGCGGAAAGTGATGAGAACTGTAAACGACGAGTTGATAACAAAGATCAATTCCTTTTCTACAAAATTACGATATTTTGAAATTCTGGATCGTGTCAAGAATGATTCAATTTATTTTAGTTTTTCTATGCTTCTTAAAAGCTTCGCAAAATATTTCTCAATCTATTTCAAAGCCTTTTCTTTTATTTTATCGTACTCTCATAACACTGAGAAATGATTTTGTTATAGGAACAAATCAAAGGAAAGCAAATGTGATATTTGTTAAAAAACCGATCGATTTGTTACGATTGCAAATTAATATTCGTCAATGTAACAAATAATTAATAGTATCGCTAGCAAATAAGAGGCTCATATATATATTATAAAAGTCGTAGGATGATTGCAGGACCCCAAATCGTAAGAAATTGACCAATTCTAGTCAAGTATTCTCCCTACATTTGACTGTGCTTGTTCGGTTTCCTACGACTTAAGACTCCACGATCATCTACGAATTCTACGTAAACGAGCCTAAAGTCTATCCAAAAGATAGATTAGATTCTATAATTTGCTTCTGTTACTAATAATTGCTTGGTATAGCAGACTAGTAACAAACACAACAACAAAATTTGTTGTCACATATTTACCGATCACCGATTAAAGGGCTACTGGTGGCTTATTAAATTAACAAAATCTTTTCTCTCAGTGAAGGAGGCCATGAAATTAAATACAGTTATAAAATCGCATTCTAAAAAAGATGACATTACTTCTCTCTTCTTGCATTTGCGAAGCGTAGCATCCAGTACCGCGATAAAATGGAGGGGTAAGAAGCATCCCCTCGAAAATTTCCGCGTTACCTCGCCGCGGAATTATTTGTAACAAGACTCTCAACTCCCAATTTCTCGCTTCTCGTTTTTCATCACCATATTCCATTCCTTTCAGTATGCTTGAAGCTCGCTTAAAAAGCTCTGGTTATAATGCAGGGACGACTGAAGCTGGAAAACCTTCCGCAATAAGTGCAGAATTGTACAACAGATCTACAATATTATTGCCAACAGATAGTACGAATAAAAAAGACATCGGCTAGAGACGAATCTATATAGAAAATAATAATAATAAATTTTTTTAAGGACTCTAGCAAGCTTTGTAAGGTAATTTAAAAATATTTGTTATTTACTTATATTATATAGTTATTTAATTCTAATAATACAGCAAAATTAGACCAATTAGAGGGGAATTAAATTAAACGAGAATAAATTAATGAAGAGAAATAATTCTATTTTTTATTATAAAGCGCATCTTAATATTAAATATTTCAGGATGGATTTTTTGTATATGTATATCCAATTCTATAATCGCGCATCGAATTCTTTATCAGTTCTGAAATTCAATCATGAACAGAACTAGAATAACAATACTACGTATTAAATGACAAGCAATTCAATGATATTAATAACTATGATATAAGAAGATATAAAAGATATAATAATTTAATGTCAATATAAAATTTTATAATCATATTTTACAATCGATCTAATTCAATGATTGCAGTCATTGAGAACCACGATTAATTTCTGAAAAATTAGCATATTCTGTCAAAGGAATTCTGTCACCTTCTGTCCTCTTACATTTTTATAACGTCGATTGATCGTAAGATGCGGCGATCTTCAATCTTTTCGCATCGGTGAAAATAAGATACGACAGAAATGGCGTAAGGATAGAAGGTGGCGGAACGAGAGGAAGGGACAGGCGGCGAGACAGGGAGCGAGAAAACCACTTCGTGTCGTTATACGAAGTGGATTTCGCACAGCGACAAAGGCGGAGCGAGCTATCCAAGATTACATTCCAACTATTTCTTGTCGTTTTGCGCGGCGCAAAAGCGGGAATTAATTAAATTTGTTAATTGCAAGATGCATTTAGTAACGCCGAGTCTCCTCCTCTCGAGTCTCTCATCATCCGCACGTCGCGCCGCTCTCTCATTGCGTCTTTTTCTTTGCGTCGGCGACGACGCACTACGAGAATTATAACAAAGTGGCGAGAGAAGCTGAAAGGTCCACTTTTGCTCACATTTAGTTAGGACACGTATGTGAAAAGCCGTTTTGTTCATTATATGTGAAATGTCTTTTGAATTGTCTTCATTAACACTGTATTCCCCGAGCAAGTCGAATGCATTTCCGTTTATGTACATGTACGTCTACATTGTAAGCTATGTCTGTTACAATTCTGCAACTGTTTCATCATTTCTGAAACCTCCCTGCACGTAATGATCAAATTACACGATATACCGTACCGTGTATCTATTCGTTATACCTATTGTCCACTCGCGTCGCAATTACCGTTGTCGACAACATATCGTGTCGTACGGTATCTACGCGATATATTTCCGTTTCGACGATTCCTCCGTGCACGTTATACGCAGTACGTATACCGTACGCAGATGTCGTGTAATCGTGTAATAAGGTACACGGCAGCGAATTAATCGGCGCGCAAGGGTCAAACTGATCTTCGTTACGTGACATCCGCAGGGCGGCGGAGCGTGTGATCGCGGCGCAAACATCTCCCTTGGTGTTCAATCTGACGCTTCCGCTTCCGGATCCGTGCGACGGGCGCGAGTGCTAATTAGACTAATAAGAACGCGTACTATCACGGCGAAACGTGTACTATCCGGCTGTTTACCAATCAGATGTTCTGCGCGCGTTTTGGTTCACAGAGGAGGACTTGATGCACGGGGGTGGCGCGGGTATTGGCGGGGGTTCTATGGTCGGACAGAACTCAATATTTGGGTGCTCGGCTGCAGGACACAGCGGGGTTAACCAGCTCGGCGGCGTTTACGTCAACGGCCGACCACTGCCGGATTCCACGAGGCAGAAGATCGTCGAGCTGGCCCACAGCGGTGCTAGACCGTGCGACATATCGCGCATACTGCAAGTCAGCAATGGATGCGTCTCCAAAATCCTCGGCAGGTAAGTACCGCGCCTTCATCTCCCTTCTAATTATTCATGTGGACGAGCGCGTTCTGCGACACTTGACTACCAATGGAATTTGATCGCTCATTGCTATTGTTTTTACTAGTCTAGTTAATTCAATCAATGAATGGGAGGGAAGGGGGGGGGGGGGTTCAATGGCCACAAGACACAACTGCTTGTATTTTCTCGATACAATTAAAGGCCAATCGATAAATTTGCGACAGAATTCACTGGATTTCCTTCCATTTTCAATCATTCATTTTTAGTGATGCTAAAGATTTAAAAATAATTGGATGTATAATAATGAACGAATGTTACGTTATGTCTCCATTTTTCATGTAGCAATATTTCCGTGAATGTAACATCGTTTCTGCAAATTGCGGAGTATTAATAAAGCTAGTTTTTATCCAATGATTTCTTGTTTATAAAAAACAACTCGTTTTTCTTTTTAGTAACCATACCATGTAATCTATTTAATCTTTATAGAACAAGGATCTATTTTTAAAATTTACAACGTTTTCTTAAGTAATATTTGCATAATTTATAATTTTATTGCATTCCTTGTTTCAAAATATAATACTATTTTAGCGCTACTATAGTGGCTTTCCCGTTCTGTAAACCGTAACATACGTTAAACGAAAATAACAATTTTCTTTTTCCAGGTATTACGAGACTGGTTCAATCAAGCCGCGGGCAATCGGCGGTAGCAAGCCGCGAGTGGCGACAACGCCTGTGGTCAACAAAATTGCCGACTACAAAAGAGAATGTCCCTCGATCTTTGCCTGGGAGATTCGCGATCGACTTTTGCAGGAGGGCGTTTGCAATAACGATAATATACCCAGCGTAAGTAAAAGAAAAAAAAAATCTGATTACGTGAGATACGCTTAATTTAGGATGCAGACTGTCAGATTAATAATTGATAAATAATTGATAAACGTGGTAACTTGACTGAACTAAATCTCGCTAAATATCACGAATGATAGATTAGAACAAAACGAATTTAAATGAGCGGATTACGCAGATTCTAATTCCTCTAGATTGCGTGGACGATTCTCTCGTCTCGCATAAATTTGTGACGCGCGAATAAATTTCCCGCTGTATTGGCGTCATACATTGATTGGATACGGTATAAGTTTACGCGTAATCCGCCGTCGACTTATCGTGGCGCACAGCCGGTCGGGTGTACTTACCCGTCGGATCCGGCCACTCGACCCTAATCAAAGTCTCGTCAATACGATCGGCTGGGTGGGGTAATCGGTCCATTACGCGGACCTCGGCATTGTCCACCCTCCTGGACGCTGATCGCCCTTCTCCGAACTCGAAGAATCCTCTCCGTTGTATACGTCCGTCCATCTACCAAACATCCTGCCCACCCAACCTTCCATCCCGACCGCGCGAAATATCCTCGAAGTCGATCGTCCTCTCGTCTGGCTCCTCCGAGGATGCTCTCTCTACTGACAGATCCCCCTATCGGCTGCCCGTCAGGAATACCGAGGGGGATGGCACGCGTACAAGTCGTTATCCATCGGCTTGTGGAGCAAACTCGCTCTTGCTAGTGTGTTTCTTGGAATTGCCGAATGAAGAAGGTCGATGGGGGATGTTGGGGATTCTAGGATGATCAATCAGAACGTCTAGCACGCGCTTCTGTCGTTAAGCATGTAACGTGTTAGCTATTGGCGAGATTACATTTGAAAACATCGCTCTAGCGGGTGCTTTCCAGATATCGTTATATCCTTGTCGTTTGTCAATGAACAAACATGAAATCATTATTATTCCATACAACACGCGCATGTCCGAAAACGGGATATCTTAAAGACATTTTTTCTAAAAGAAATTTTTTAAAAGTCTTATATCTCGATTTTGGATTTTTTATTGTCCGAGGACACACTGTGTCTCTTGCTGGAAAATACCAAGTATATCTCATCTCTTAATAGGTTTGTTCGCGTTGCTTGGAATCCCAAAAAAATGTTTGTACTTAAAACGGGATAAATATATATTCAGATGTTGAAAAGAGAGAGAACGAAGATGCTAAGTGCAAAAAGTGCAGGCAACGCGGACAGATCTAATACATTTAATATTTATCACATATTTTTATTGAAATGACAAACATCGTTCTATTAACAATAAATTTCTTAAATTTGCTTATAATAATGAAATATAAAGTTGATAAAATTGGTAAATATAACTTGAAATCGATGAATCAAAAATCAGTCTGGAATAATTTTGGAGAGTTTAAAATCAGAACCGAGAGAGAAGAGAGACAATTTGATTGACAGATCGTTCTTTCGATCGTTTCGATCTTTTCTCGATTACTGGTGGATCGCTGGTAGTATTGGCGGTGACGTTGGCTATTGCGGCTGGTACACATTGCGTCGGGGGTTGGTATCGGGGGTGCGCGCAGGGTTAGTCGGCGGCGAGAGCGGACGGGAGCGGGTAGAATCAGGGTGAATGGGATCAGTTAAGCGTGTTGCACAATTATTCGTGTCCGGTCGCGCGTGTAATGGCCTGCATCGACGCTGCGGCTGTTGTGCGGCGAGAGTAGAGCGGTCCGGAGCGTACAGTCGGGATCTCTCTCTCCCGGCATCCAAGCCTGGATAGACGGTTTGATGACGGAGAGCCCTGGTCCGGGTTAGCTGGAGCTAGCTCGTCTCGAAACGTTGCTTCCGCTATTCGCCTGTTACTATCTCGTAGCGTCGGAATGGGTCGAGATGGAAGTTACGTACGCTCGATGAGCTCCAGACGTAGGAAGTGTGATCAATGAAAATCGATGTTTCCTAATATTCGCACATATTCTATTCGCGATTGAATTTACACGTGATTCTACTTTTTCTTATATCTCCTAACAATTCTCATTACATCGCGGTAGATCGCTTTACGTAAAAAATTACCTGTATTTTATGACGAAATTTCGTCATAGTCGGTAGGACGATATTTACGAAAAGCACAATATTTACCTGAATGTACCTCGAATATAATCGAACCATCCAAGTCAGGTTTCCTCGTTTTTTTTAATTCTAATAGCAGCGCGCTATTCTAACGGTGACGTTCTCTCAGCGTCTCACTCGGCCATTATTCCGTCGGTTTTAACTCAAACTACGCGAGAAGGATCGGCTTTGCTCTCATACCGCTCTTGTCGAAACTTGTCGACCTCGTAATTAAGAAGCTCCGCTCGATATCCGACGTCCGCGCTGCATTAACGGCTGTGTATATCCAGCTGCTGCACCGAGCCTGGCGTCGATTGCAGAAGGGTGTGGAGGATGGGGTTGGCGCGCGTATGGAGTACGCTGAGGACCATTATGTGCAAGTTGAGAGCGCAATGCTTAGATCCCTGTGCTATACGCCGGCTCGTTATAACTTTGGAGTTAGCCAGTGGCTCGGTTGCGGGCGTAAGGTGAAGACGACAACGATGACGACGGCGACCGTCCCTCGGATAGGAGGGGCCGGATACGAAGAGCCGTGGAGACCGTTTTATGTAATAATAATTGGATGGCGGTGTCCTTTCATCTGGGTATGACCCCCTTCGCATCCCGCGACCGCAGGAGGACGAAAAAGAGGAAGAAAGATCCCGCGCAAGGGGCGACGGCGAGGGACGGACAATCAGTGCTCAACTATGACGACGGAAATGATTCTCGTGCGACGACGAGTGGCTGAGGTTGTGAGACTTTACAAAGAGCCTTGCCCCGATCCGCCACGCCAGCCTCTTTTGCCTCTATCTCCCTTTTTCTTGATCGAGAGTGGACGATGGAGGTATCTTGAGTGCATAAGGATCACCGCGTATCATTAGAAAAACGACGCAACATTTTCTCTAAATCATCAATTTTTTCTGTAAACTACAGGAATATTAGAAGCAAAATTAGAAAAAATGGTAATTGCTTCTATAGTCTTTAAATTATAAAAGATTGGAGATTAATCACCATTGGCAACTTAAAAAAGTTTTAGATACACAGATCGTTAATCGAATTATATATATATATATATATATATTTAGAAATATCTATTAATATTAAACATTCTTTTTATACGTATAACTATTAAAATGTTACATTTCCTGAACTGATTTCGAATTTAAAATAAAGACAAACATAATTTGCATAATAATTTTTACTAAATTTTTAAGAGACTTCGAAACAAATTTACTTATAATTTTTACAAAAATTGTTGCCAGCAATTTCAATAAAAAGTACAAAAGTTGACAGCAGCTTTTATAGCACTTTCTTGATCCTCATAGGATTGAATTAATAAATGATTCGGGAATTAATCCTAATCGAAAATCTCCGTCTTTTTGTAGGTGTCGTCCATTAACAGGGTACTCAGGAACTTGGCTTCGCAGAAGGAGCAACAGGCGGCCGCGGTGCAAGCGCATCAGGGTGCCGAGAGTGTCTACGACAAGCTGAGAATGTTTAACGGGCAGGCAGCAGGTTGGCCACCAGCATGGTATTCGGCAACACCTCCCCATCATCCTCTGGCCACGGGAATTCCAACTGCGGCGACTCCTGGATCCGGTCAGACTCTTCTGCCCGGCAGTCAGCTTCACGGCCGTGACGATTCTTTGCTGAAGCGAAGCGGTAAGTTTTTGATTTACTTTTACTTAATTGATGAAATACTGATAAAATATTAGCGGAGTCGGCATCTGTTGATGGCTTGTTTTATTCATCATGTTAGAGACCATGCAGATCGTTACTAATTTACCAGTTGTTATCTTTTAATCCAACTTTATTTTACCTTTCAAATAGTGAAAAATGAAATCCGTGTTAAAAAAGAAAATAACTTTATGTTGTAAATAAGGATTATAAAAATCTTTCTTTCGTGTAAAAAAAATAATTCATATAATAGTTTTAGTATGAAAATTCAATTTAATTAAAATTTCGATTAATATGTATTTGCCTTTGCACACTAAAATTTATATAATCTTGCTTTTGAAAAGATTTCTTCGAATGATTGCGTTCTCTCGTCCTTTCGTTCGATTCACGAGAATTGTACGTTGCATTGTGAATTATGATTCACTTGATGGACTTTCGACATCTCGCGCGCGCGCGTTCAATGTACGTGTACATACGTGTTCGAATAAGGAATGAAAGATCTATTCTATAGCGCTATAAGTCTAATAAGATCACGAAAATTATGCTCGCGGCTCTTTAGTCAAAACCACGAATGACGAACCCAGATGTGATCGTATTTAATAGGCAGATTAAATGAACCGATAAGTGACAGATAGAAAAGTGCTTTCCAAAACGCTTTTTTGCAGTCTTGTGATTCATTATATATGTCTCTTGATTATATATATCAATCTAATTATCTTGACCTAATAAATATTCTCTCTCTAACATCTGTATATTAGTATATCAAAATATATTTTTGCGCGCCAAATGACTTCACGATATAACACTAACGCTGAGTTGAATATAAATGAGACAATCAAATGTAGCGAATTTTTTAAAAATTGTTGTTCAAATCTATATAGGAGTATCTTAAATCGCGTTGTCACCTATGAGGTAGTAGTTTTCATGCCTTATTGGATACGTCAAAGTGCTGCTTATAGTGTACACTTGAATGCACAGGAATGCATCGAACGGTCGATCGCGGCCACTTTGGCCACAGCGGCCGCATTAAGCGACCGGATTGTAGAGAGCATCGGGCTAATCTCTTCTCTTTCTTCACCGGGCGTGCGTCGTCACCTAGAAAATTAAAGCCAACGATCCGTCTGCAGCGGACCGCCGAGGATCGTTGCCGGTCTGGTCGTTACGCGCAGGGGTGTTCGCGAGGAGATTTGGGGGTGGATTCCGCGGGAAGGAGAAGAACGGGAGTTGACGGTTAGAACGATGAGGCAGGGCAGGAAGGACCGGAGGGAAAGAAAGAGGCGTGTTTGGGGTGCCGGTATTTCTAGTCGAGGGGGTTTCGCAGGGTTGAGTCCAATTGGGGGTTGCGCGGGGGTTGAGATGAGCGAACGAGAAAGCGAGCAGCTGACGAGTGAACGGTATGTGTTACATATATATATATATATATATACATACATATATAAACATCTATATATATATATATATATATATATATATATATATATTATGATATTCATATATGATAATATATTATCGTAACCTAAAATGGCATTGGATGTAAAAAAAAGTGCTATTACGGTTTCGTATCGATATATCTATTAATTAAAAATCTGTATTTTATATATATTACAGACTTACCCTTGCGCGCGTACGAACCAACGCCGACGCACCAACACGAGACGCGACCCCGAAGACCGGCCGCGCACGCCTGAACGCGCGGCGGTGTCTAGGAATCTCGAGAACGGCGGATCGTGTTACGGGATCGACCGATTGATTTGACGCGAAACGGCAGGCTCTCTTGTAATAAGATCGATGCTTCTTGCATTATGAGAAAAATGCCGGAGATGTGGAATTTTTACCGTTTAAATGATTAAGGCTTGACACAGTTTAGGAAACAGAAGGAGACAATCGTTTTTTTTTTTGTACGATTATGATTATACTTGAAATGTAAGATGAAATTAATCTTATTGTTTAATCGTAAATGAGGAAAACTTGTCTTTAAGATGGCTGAAACAATACATTCTGAAGGAAAGGTAATTAATTCTTGTTCCAGACACCGGGTCTCTATTGTCGCATCAGCAGGAGACAACTTCGGACGGTAATTCGGAGCACAACTCCTCTGGCGACGAGGACTCGCAAGTGCGGCTGAGGCTGAAGAGGAAATTGCAGCGCAACCGAACTTCCTTCTCTAACGAGCAGATAGACAGCCTCGAGAAAGGTTAGTAGAAAATCCGAAAAAATTATCAATCTTAACAGTCACTTGTATCGTACAATACAAAATATAATAGTATATACGACTTTAGAAATCACGTGCTTTTCCTCGACTGTAAACTCTTGTTTCAATTAATTTTCCCTTCTTTAAAAATTTAATTGGACGTGTAATGCCTCGCAATTCGCAATGTTGGCAATTATATAATTTTTCTTCTTGGTGCTTGAGATTCTTCAAATTAAAACTTTTCGCATAAATTTATTTGTTCGTGATAAACTGAAAAGCAATCGGTATATCGACATATCGAGAATCGGTATTCTCCCCCATTTGGCCTTTGGAATCCGCTCGGTTGAGAGAAAATACGCAATGGCCGGCTTCGTTTATATCGCGATAATTAATGCCGACGACGCAGCTAAATAACGAGCACTTGTTGCAAACTGGTTTCGTTTCAGAATTCGAGCGGACACATTACCCGGACGTGTTTGCACGGGAGCGTCTCGCCGAGAAGATCGGATTACCTGAGGCACGTATCCAGGTGAGTGTGAATGTGCGAATGCGGCGTGTGTGCGCTTCGCTCCACCCACCTGTCCTCCTCTCTCGCCCTCGTCTCGCAACGTTTTCCCCGGGCGCGTCTTTCTCTCTTCTTGCTCTTCTTATTCCGCCCGTTCCTCCCGGGAGGGTCGAACGGCGTAAGTGCGACGACGCCCTTTCATTAAACGCTTTTAACGTGCGGCCACGTGCTCGTACGTGGGGAACGTTAAACACCTCCAACGGCGAGAGTTTGATGCCGCTCGCGAGCTCTCACTTCCAATGGGATTTCGTCACCTCTTTCGTTCGACCGCACCGCTTCGTCGCCATTTATGTATTCTTATGTACAATTTTTCTCGTCGAGTCTCTTCGAGTTTGCGATACGTAAGCAGGTGCACGATTTATTTGTTTATCAGAATTTAGAACATGTATTTAGAACATGTATTTTTCTGATAATAATGCATTTATGTGTTGAAAACTTTATTTTAAAAATTATTAAATGAGAATATGGAACACAGTTATACAAATCCAAATGTTTTACTGAATTGGACATTGCAAAACGATAATTGAATTTTATCCAATGTCCCGAAGGACTTGGAAAATTTTACAAATTTGAAGAATCTTTGATTGCCTCGACAAAGTCAAGAATGAAGGAAAACGAGAGACAGAATTTCGACGGAATAAGAATAATTTAAATTATAAGAAACCTCGCAAAACCTTGCATTTAAAGTGGGTAATGCTACTGCAATTCTTGTTCGTTTCCTCATAAAGTTTCTGCAAAACTCTCTCTGTTCGCCAACGCTTTTCTGCAAAACGAGTTTATATTCTTCATGTGACGTAGCAAAGGCTGCAACTGGTAGAAAAATTGTGATAATCAAAGTGAAGGAAACATAAATATTAACCTCCGCGATAATTAAAAAAGTTATACAATTAAAGAGTTTCAAAGATTTTTTAAAATCCGGACATTTTAATTGTTACAATATACTTATTTTATTTTAATGCTCTTTATATAGGTATTTCAAACGCTTGTGTTGTCTAATTGTAACTCTTATCCAGAATGAACGGATTAAATCAAAAGTCCTATTTTAATTCATTGCATTATATATTACTACATTTTGTTACATATAACTCGACACAACTTGAATTACGATTGTAGTTATAATTATATTTTCTTCCCATTTCTACAGTAATCTGTTCTAAATAGTTATTAGCAACATGAAAATATTATTTTCAATACGATTAAGTTCCCCGTTACATGTGTAACTATATCCATAATACATGTTGACGTTGTTTAGCAATTCTCCCATTTCGATAACACCCTTTAGTTTTTAATCATACAAGGGCTGCAAAATGCCGTGATGTATAATTATAATTAATACCAACGTCAAACCGTTAATACATACGTAGCCTTATCGAACATTGTTTGGCCGCGTTTACCTTCCACCCCCTACCGCCTCTCACCTGCACTAGCGCGGTATGAAGAGACGAAAGGGTCGACGAAGTGGCCGGCGGGGTTTGGTGTGGTGGTAGAGTAGCCGAGCGCGCTGAGCGTTATGTGGACGTACAAACAGTGCAAGACCATGTTGACGCATGTTTTCAAGCCTCGTTGGCTGGTATTGATCTTGCTAAGTGCAGGAAACCGGGAGTTCCGGCGTGGGAGGGAAAAGGAGAAGTTTGACGAGGAAGCGAGAGAGAGAGAGAGAGAGGGGGGGAGGAGGAAGGAGGGAGAGAGAGAGAGAGAGAAGGTAAGAGAGAAAGGAAGACTGAGCGAAAGAGGGTGAAGAGAAAAAGATAGTAGAGGTTGCTGGAGAGAATGAAAGAGAGGAATCGCGGAGATCGCCGAGTTGGACCGATTGCTGGTCGATCGCTGAATGGCAAAGTATGTGAAAGACGAAGAATGAAGTGCCGGGAACTCTAATGGAACATAGAACACATTACGCGGCATGGCGCGGCATGGCGCGGTATGTAAACGCGGCCCGTCCGAACCGCGAGGGATCGTGCAAAAGGCCTAAGAGGGTTCTCGGACGCAACCATGGCAACCATGGTCGTGTCCCCAGGGAGGTCGCCCTCCGATTGGCCCATCCCTCGCTTTTCCACCTATATACCTCGGCCATGGCCACGAGATTCGCCACGCTGTACTACCGTCACGTCGTTGGCCGATTATCATCCGCGGCATTCCCTAAGTCGACTCGTGTGAGCGCGATGGCCGATACGCTACGCGAGGATTAAAGGGATTTTTGCTCCAGGGCAACTCGAATAAAACAGACGCAAATAATAAATCATAAAGCTGAATGTTAGATATGCACGAGATCTGCTGAAATCAGTATTAACATCGTCACGCAATTTTTTTTAGATAAAGAATCTATTTTTTTCTCGTTTATAATCTCTGAAAGTACTGCGAGGCGTGTACGTAAACGAGCGAATTTCTTGCGCTTCCAGTTGGCACATCGTGAATGAAGGTCGAAAGTTTCAAGGTCGGAAACCAGAGTCGGAAACCGGTCTTCACCGCATTTCAGCCGTTGATGCTGAGAGAGGAGACTTGTGTTCTTTGAGTAGGTAACACTAAGGACCGAACGTGTTCGTATCACGGACTTTCGGCGTGGATCGATTCGGACGAGTTTTCGGAACGAGGGAGGACGAGTTTACGAGGGACGATAGTATTGGGCGGAAGGAGCCCGCTGCGGGCGAATGGCAGATATTTGACGGTGGGGTGGTCGAACACGATTTGCTGCGCCAATGGGAGGACAGGAGGATAGAATTTATTTTTTGATTCAATCGAGGACCCCCGTGCTCGTAGCGTGGCGTTATACGTGAGATTGCGGAAGGCTTGTATTTCTACGTTGATGGCATTTCTTTCCGCTGCGAAAAACATCTCTCTTTTTTTCCTCTATCGTACACGATAATTCGTTACGTCAAAATCGACAGAAATGGAAATTGCCGTTATTGCTTTGTCTTCTATTTTCATCTGCGCGCACTAGCAAAAATATGCGGATTACTTTCTCAAAAACTCGCGCTGTAATTACACGACTATATTTACTGTATTAAATATAACTTAATAATTTTGGGTCTTCTCTTCTCATTAATGACGATCATTATTCCGTGAATAAGAAGGATCCGTCAATTGACATTTACATCAACGCAATGATTGATATTGTATAGGACAAATTTATATTTATAATAATCAATAATAGTAAAGTATAATCGTATAGAGAATGGGGCATTAAAATATTTCATCATACATGAAAAGCGCAAAATTCATGTAAATGCTATTAAATGAAAATCGATCGAAATGTTCAATCAGATAAACAAAGAAGTATTTCATATTCGGTTCAAAGCGGGTTTTGATGCCTAATAATATTTCGTGTGAATTTCATACAATTTATCTAATGATTTCATATAATTCGTAAAATAATAAAATTCGTGTAATTGTGTGCTTTGTAAAATTGACACTACTAAACAGTATTGCAATATACACATAAAAAAGAGATGTGAAAGCCAAATGCACGGTTCATGGATTGCTCTAAGTGCCGGCGGGGGAAAAACCGATATATCGAAGGGGACGAATCCTCTTATCACCGAAAGGAATCACAAAAATCAGGAAATCCGTGCAGGCGTGGGATAGGGAAGGATAAACTCTCGATTTTTATTATACGAACCTCCATCGTGTTATTTGGGATATCGCCTCGACATAGTGAAAAGATATTTAGACATTAAAGTCATTCTTAATTCTTTAATATTTTCGCTACAGTGTCACATTTTTATATAATTCTGACGTATTCTCTATATCTCCTTCTAATTATAGCCCTGCAAAGAAACAAGGAGTCGATTGAATAAAAGTATAAAGGTTAAAGTTAATCGACGTTTTAAAATCTAATAACATCGCAGATAGAAATAATCAAAGACCTTCGACCCGTCCCGATAATATTAATGCAAGATTGGTGCGATATTGGCGTGACGGGGTATATTACCTACAATATTACGTATTAGAGTCGGATATCGAGCTGCAATTTGTAGTGCAACCAGAAGCTTGAAAAGAGACGCGTAAAATAAAAGCACGACAGCGAAGGGGCGGCAGGTAAAAACATGTAGAGAGAGGATGAGGAAGAGAAGGGTGCTGTGCATGGGAAAGGGCCAAGCGAGCAAGAGTAACTCAATTTCCCGTCTGACAACTGCTCAATCGCAATTAACAAATTGGAGAAGCGTCTCGTGCAAACTCGCGCCTCTATTCGCATGAGATGCGAAAAGAGTAGATTAGTCTGGGCGCTAGATTTCGTGCTACCTGGAGAGTAGACAAGAGGCTCGGTCGGATAGAGGCGGAAAAAAAGAGGGGGAGAGAAAGAGAGAGAAAGGAGAGGGGGAGGGGGGAAGGGACAGGACAATAGGATGGTTCGGGGAGGATGAAGGCGTTCTCTCCGGAGAGGAAGCAGAAGAGAGTCGTGGAGCGCGAATGAGTACGAATGCGGATGAGTGCGGATGATGCGAAATACCGTGCCGGCGGCGCCGAGTGTGCGGCTGCACACTTATCGTGACAAAGGCACCGTCATTGTGTCGGTTGCAGGTGTGGTTCAGTAATCGCAGAGCGAAGTGGCGTCGAGAGGAGAAATTACGGAACCAGAGGAGGGCCGCCGTCGATCAGGTGGTCGCCGGTGGCAGCGGCGGGGGTAGCAGCGGCACCGCGCCTCCCGCGGCCACCCCTGCTACGCCACGGTTACCCTTAAACGCTGGATTCAACGCCATGTACTCATCGATACCGCAACCGATTGCCACTATGCCCGACACATACAGGTTAGAGAATTTTTTGCGTTAAAGCAACATCATTTTTCTCAAGTGCAAAATTTATAGAGTACAAGAGTAAATCTTGATCGTTCGATAACAGCGCGATATTCATTGTTGTAAAAAGTGTAAAATGACTCTGCTGAAATTTTGTTAAAATCTTTATCACAATGGTGAAAATTTTAATGCCAAATATTTCGGTAAACTCTCCTGAAACTCCTGAAATTTGCAAATGTAATTACACGTTACTGCAATTAGAGTTCATGCCTGCCGTTCATGCATGCCAATGCATATCGTGACTTGTTGAGGTAGTTGGTTGTTTTTCGATACGGATGCTTTTCTCCCTCGTAGCTCGATGTCAAGCAGCCTGGGCGGGTCAATGGGTGGAAGCTGTCTTCAGCAACGCGCTGAGGGCTACCCGGCGTACGTGTTTCACGAGCCTCTCCATTCGCTCACGCAGTCTTACTCTCACGCGCACAGCGCGGCCGCGGCCGCGCACTCGCAACCGCATCGCGGCATCCCGACGTCTCACGGTGGCACCCCCGCGACGCCAGGGGGACAACCCGCTGGACCAGGTGGAGCACCTTACCAGCCGACAACCTCGACCGCAACCGGTGAGTTCTCGCCACGACTAATTTCTCGTGTTCTCTGTGCCTCGTGCTTTCAAGGTCACTCAAGAATGATTTAGGCAGAGCCAGGAATAATTAGGATTTGCCGGAAGCAACTAACGATGTACCTTACAGGAGGAAAAAATATTATGTGCATGCAATGTCTTTCAAAATGTCTTTCAAAATATATTTACAAATGACAAAACGGTAATTTTTATCAAATTAAAAAAATTCTTTTTTCATTGCTTCTGCGATTTTCCTCCGATTAAGCGGAGGATTATTTAATGTTTCAATTGATTTTTGTTACTCGTTCTTAGTTATTTTAAGAGTAGAAATTTCATTTATTATCATTAAAGATGTATTATTTTTTAACAGAATGAAAAATAAAAATATTACACATTTTTTTATATTATATTTGAAAGTAACACAAGAAGTTTGACAGGCGATTAAGAACCTGAATCAACAATTATTTCAATAATAAATACACAGTTTTTAAAAAAATAATTGAGATAAAATGAGAAAATGTTTACTTAAAAATTTGAAAATTATATTAAATATATTATTAAATATAAATATTGATGTTATGGATCTGTTTTACGTGTATACATCAATCGTCGTTATACGGAAAGTATAAATTTCCAGTTTCAGTCTCTTTTTGCAAAGCTTATACATCTGATACATCCTTAACGCCTAGCAAAAATATCGAAATATTATGTACATATATCTCAATACGAATATAGCTATGAAATTTTTTCTTAACTCACTTTCCCATTGCTTAGATTATCTTCAAAAATTCTATGCATTCATTGATACAACATACATGTACGAGAATGTAATGATAGAACGAATTCTCGTCAAAAACCAGTAGGGGTTTTCGTTTCCAATTTTCGCTCGGCGAGCGATCGCCGTTTCTTCCTCGCGCTCTAGCCGGCTCAAAGCGCGAAATAAAGCGTCGAGAATTACCTGGGAGCCTCTTCACACGCAATCTACATAGTCCTGCTAACAGAACAAGAGAGAGAGATAGAGGGAGAGATATAAAGAGCGAGCGGGCAACGACGCGGTCGCGGCTCCACGCTCGCCCACGGAATTGTAAAAGGATTTTAAAACAAATCTCGCATGGCGCCGCTGGGCTGAATCGAAGAATGGGATGTTCGGCGGTTTTCCAACCCCGCCGATGTAGCTGGTGAATTTTCCATTTTCTCGACTCAACTTCTCTCTCCCTTCTCTCTTTTTTTTTTACATGCCGGTTGGCTCCTCTCCGCTCGGCTCTTTCTTTTCTCTCTCTCGACTCTCTTCCTCTATTATTCCTTTTCTCCGTCTATCTTCACTATCTCACCCTCTCGTCTTCCGTTTAGCGAAAGCCACCACGGAGGGTCGCGCCTCTTCTCGCAACTTCAGCGTCGCCTCGCCTTCTCTCTCTCTCTCTCTCTCTCTCTCTCTCTCTCTCTCTCCCTTCGCCTCTATACCCTTCCACCGTGAGGGGTGCGCTCGCTCCTTCGTGTCTATCCATCTATCCGTCCCTCTCTCGTCGCCCTCCGCCGGGCTCCCTTTTGCCTCTTTCTCCGCGTCTCTCTTTCTCTCTCGCTTCCTCTCCCTCCTGAGGATATACAGGGGTGAACAGAGGATGTGGATGGGTTGGGTCTCGCCTCGGCTGGGCGAGCGCTCAATAACGTGCGAACCCAAAGGGGAGGAAATACGGGGGTGCGCGGCGTATCTACAGGAACGGAACGGAGCGGAGCGCAAGCCGGAATGGTGGAATACTGCGGAACACGCGCGCACCGTGTGTCCCACCCCGCTATTCCTCTCGCTGTCCCGAACACTCTTCTCGCGGCCGTCTTTCTTCCTTTCTGCTCTTTCATCCCTCCCCCTCCCTCGCCGCGGGTTATCCATCATAATCGCTTTACGTGCACGAGCGCCGTAAGGACTTTCACCGCGCTCGTTAGCGCCGCGCCTGTCCTGCCGGCTGAAACGGCGCCGTTTTCATAGTTAAGTAGCCGCCCCCGGAGTTAGCGGGATTCAACCGCGGAAACGAGCGTAACCGCGCGAGTTTGCCGACGCAGTTGGCGGACGTGGTGAACGAGAGAGTTACGGATATTCGATTAATCCCTCGACATTGAGATGACAGTTGAGAGTATTCGTTGGATATGAAGTTAAAGATGAAACTCTCGAGAGATTGCTAAGATGCGATTGAATGTCGGAATCTAAAAAGTCGCGTGGCCAAGAAATTATTTTGCGGCGGCATCGATCATCTTTGAATTAAACCCTACGGGTTGAGATAAATGCTTACGTACGTATAACCATTTATTTTGTCGATACGTGACTAATGAAAACTTTCTGACCTTTTATTTAAAAATTATTGTTCCATTATATTGAAATTTTTTTCAATTGGTTAACTGAACCAAATTTTGATTAGAGCAATACAATTTTTAAATAAAAAAGTGAAAAAGTTTTTGTTACTCACATATCAATGAAATAAATGGTTATATACGTACTAAATACGCTGTCATACACTGTTCAGGGTATTTGATATTATCGTTGAATTACAGAAACGCAAATAAATAGGATTCTATTTTTTCGCACCTTTGCGCCATGATTAATTTCCGATATTTTAAATATGTTAATTTTTAACTGAATAAAAGTTCCACAGTTAACGTAAATATGGCTTACGTTCTCGTTGCAACGTTTGCCAAATTACCCGTCTTGCATTTATGCCATAATTATAGCTCATGCGAGGAACGAAGTTACGACGCGAGGCCCATAGAGCGTAAATGTTTTCGCGGCAAGTTTATATTGGATTAGACGCAGCTCGTTAAGGTGTTTAATTCAAATTGCAGAAGTGTGCGAAGCCGCCGCGCGCTATCATAACCGAATCCTATTTATGCAACCGTCGCCGCGGGCGACACTCACGAATGCGTTTCATGTCGTTTTCCGTAAATACGTACTCGGTTGTTTTTAGCGAATTAGTCCTACTGTGTTTCACGCGATTAATGACGCGTTCCGCTCGCAGCGATCGTCGCAATCCTCGCAAGTTGCTGAAACTGTATTTTCTTAATCAAGAAGATACATGCATTGTTAGAAAATAGTGAAATAAATTAAATCATTAAATAATAATGAGACGAGATGAATAATTTAATTTATTTAAAGAACGGAGAATTATCTTAGGAATTTTATCCTAAGATAATCCATCAATTTTGAAACACATTATCAAACGATATGCTAAGGAAAGAATGATTTTGCTGAAGTATTTAAGAATTTAACTGAATACAAATTTGAAATAATTTTAATTTAGGGGATTATTTCATATGTAGAAATGTCCGAATATTTTGGTGTCTTATCATATTCATGTTTATATTATTAGCGTCTCAGATCGATTGTGATTAATGTTCGTTTGAACGTTTCGGCGCACACAGTCACATCTAAAATAATTAAATTTAAAATTAAGAATATAACATATAGTATTCATAACATCTAATTTTGCCCGATTATTGGCGTTCCCTATCATAATTATATATATCATTTATAAGTACGGTCATACTTATTTTTGAAATAATTTTGTTGGACCATCACAAATTGGGAATTTCAAGCAGAATGAGTAATGCGTTTTGACATTCTAACCAATTGAATCAGTTTGGTGTCTTACATAATTATATTGATGGTCCAAGGAAATTATTTTCAGATTTGTCTGTATTATACAATATTTAGCCGACATTTTAGATACTTAAAAAAAAAACGTTCTTTCGTGTGGAAAATTATATTTCTGTTTCTTATGTACCACACAGGGGCGGTTCAACTCCCATCATTTATATTGCTCATCATCCATATTGCTTCGCTCCTTTACAATCACTTCCCGTTCCGTTTTCCAGAGCCTCGACAGGTCTCGTGCCGTCGCATGAAATGCGCTCAATCCCCCGACATCTGAAATTGTTTCAGGAGTGATATCAGCCGGCGTCTCGGTGCCGGTGCAGATTCCCTCGCAGACCCCGGACCTGGCAGGCAACTATTGGCCGAGGCTCCAGTGATCCCAGCTCTTCGGGTTCCCGCCCGCGAGTTTGCTCGTAGGCCAGGAGAGCCCGCCGCCGCCGAGCGCCACCCCGGGCGCGGTGCCACGACCGCTCCTCGCTTCCCTCGGGATACCAACGCAGTCGACGCAGCATCAGGCCCCCAGCACACCGGCGACCACCCCCGTGCACAATTCCGACACCAGTGAGTGAAACGACTGAATTTCCGTGATCCGTGCACCGTCGCGCAAGTGTGATCCCATGTCCCCGAGATGTAGAGTGCGGCGTTTCCTCGCGCACTTGATTGCCGACGGTGACGATCGCTGTCGATGACGACCCGCCACGGGTAGACGCGAAGACAGACGCTACGAGTCGAAAACTCGCACCCTTCCGATAGTTCGCACGACAGCGTAACGCCGATCGCATCGAAGACGCGCGGTTAGTGTCGGTTGTGCGTGGAATGAACACAGTTCCGAAATGTTTCTTCGTTTTCTAATAATAAGTTGAAGAATTTCGTTCGTTTAATTTCGCGGTCATTTATTTATTAATTATTATGGAACGTTGTCCCATCCACAAATATATAGCTGGTAAAGGCTTTTTATCAGAAACATCGACAGCATGCTTGATAAATGACGTTGCAATTATATCTTGTAGTGTTTCGATTGATCGAACAATATTTAATTGTTCGTAGAGTTAATATCATTAATCGTGTAATTTCCTCGCATGTCGGATTAATAACTCGCGTCCTCGAATGTTTACGACCGTCAATTTTCTGAATGGCAATACCTATCTACGAAACTATTCGATTAGAATTAGGAGATAGGATAGATTCCCCCTCCCCCTCCCCTCCTCGCCCTTCTTGAACAATTTGTAAATTTGCCAACGCCCGCATTGGCGGATCAGTAATGGAGCAGCAGCTCGTCGCAATTAAATCCTCTTTGAAATTGAATGAAAAGATTTTTTTATCAACGCGATCTGATTACACAGGGCGGAATTTTTGAGACAGCACAATAAGTTTTATAATTCGAGCTCGAACCAATGGATTTTACCCATCCATTCCACTTCGTGTCTGATCTAGATTTCGTAGATGTATACGCATGACCCCGGGTCACGCAGGGTAATTACCTATTCACCGATAGTATGTGTAAATGATTTTACGTTACGCTACCTTCGTCGTCACGTCGAGGATTTTCGCGTGAAGAGCCACTAGTTATCCGTCGTAGTTATATCCGTAACAAAAATATAATTTCCTTAAGACGTTCATTACACAATTTCTAACGTGATCTCTCGTGCATTTGCATCGATAATTTTATTGCTACGAAAGAATCTTTTTAATAAGCGTTCATAATGTCCCGGAAAAGTTATTTTTCACTTCGCCCGACATGCGCGAATTCTCCCTTTTAGTTTCCCCGAAGTCGATCGATGTCAAGAGCATTCATTAAATTTACAGCGGCTCTCGTTTTTCGGTATCGGGGAGCTTTATTACCGGATTTATTGGATAGCGCCGGGCGCATATTGTTTGCCGCACGTTGTATCGGTTTCCGGCAAATATTTTCCTTCGTGTAAGGGCGGCCGCGAACCGCGTGGAAATTGAAAGGGAGCCGCAGACACGTAGGCGGCTCCCGCCGAAATATATTCTCGCGCGAGTTTAGGGTGGGAGTCTCTCGATGTTTTTTTTTTTTAGCAAGGCCGGCCATCGTGTCTGTCGGCAGACATGGCGTCGGAAGACACTGCTCTCGAAAGGATACCGCGGCCCTAATTTACATGATCAATGTAATATTGATCGACAATTTATTCGCGAAAAATATCCCAGAGTTATAAAGGAAATAATTTTTTTTTAATATCTATTTATATTAATTTATAATATATTTTATTATATATACTTTTTATTTATACTCTTAAATGAAAACATTCTTTTGAAAGAGAAAAAAATTGCAATTTTTTTTTTATATATATCTTCTGTTGTTTATTTGTTTGTTGTACTCGATAAAAATATTGTTATTACATTATTATTAATGTGAGTGGTTCTTCACGCGTGGATTTATCGCACGCTTTATGCAAATGCAACCGGACGCGCAATAAAAATCGCCGCGTGTATTTCAAATTATGCTAGATTTAAACCTCGAGATCTGCGTGCAAGATTTATCGAGAATAGCAATATTGCAGTTTCAGATCCTCTTTAACGTAGTAACGCAAATAGCACTTTTTTAAATTTCGCGTAAACTAAATATATTTAAAACACATTTGCGAACAATGACACAGGAGGCGAAAATGTTCGATTTGAAACTCTTTATTTACACATCTCTCCACAACGTTCATTCCGGTCCAAGATACACGATTCTAGATTAAGACAATCCAATCTGTAGCTTATACCATCCTTATTACCATAATAAAGTGACGTATGAGGTCGTGAAGAATAAACCGACGTAATCATAGAGAAGATTTCGTAAATGTCACAGTAATGCCCGAAGCAGGCAAGTAGCATGAACGTTTGCGTCGGTATTTATTGCTATTAATGTAAATGTATCGCTGAGCTAATGGACCGAGGAAGCGGATTCGTCGTTACAAACGAATCGCAAATATTGGTGCTCGCGCAGTAACGAGAAATCTTATTGGCATCGAACTCGTTAATCGTCACCGCGCACACGATCGAAGCACATTCTTTCGATTATGCTGTATAAAGATAATTGTAAGATAGCATTTGTTACTCTCTTTAAACCAGTACTGTACATTAGAAATAATTATCACTGTATATATACGTAAATAAGTTAGATGAATTCTCCAATTACGTTCGAACGTATCCACATTATAAACTACGCAACATCTTATCCGTGTATTCAATGTTTTCCCTCACCGAAACGATGACTCCGTTGACTTACACCGTGCAACAGCAGAACTTCAATAAAATCAAATGATCTGAGCCTACATTTATTCACCTATCATTTCGCGAAAACACAAATCGTCGAACGCGCAAATTTTTCGTTTGAAGACGAGTTTGAACGAGTTTTGGAACAGATCTCAATACCCACGCAAATATACATGTAAAATTAATCACCAAAACAAGATTACAAAAAATACAGAAATTTTGCATAATATCTCATACGTATTATTTAAAAGAGTAATCCTACGAATAAGGCGATTGCGTTTATTGCATTTATTTTAAAGCTACAATCTTTTTACGAATGATATATTATTACTTTACATTGTGGAATTTTTACAATAATAATTTCAGAAATCACGAAAATAAAAATTTGGCGATTCTATTATTCATAAAACTAGATTATTATTTTTTTTTTAATCGCAAGGAGAAATGTCAACCACCTGTGCGGACTTATTGCGATTTCAATGGGTGTTTATATCCGTGATCCATTTAATCGATGCATTTCGATCACCACCTAACGGGGAGAATAGCACGTTTTTTTAGTAATTGAGTCGCGCCGCACGATCGCGTCGAATAATTAGTCACTGATTCGTATGGTATGGAAAAAACGGCGTGAAAATAGCAATTCGATATTTTTCAAATTTTATCGTTCCAGAACTCGACAGAGCTTTTTTTCAGGAGGCAGCATTGTATATGCTGATTATTTTCTGTCGCGATGTGAATATTTCCAAGCGTTTTTCCTTTTTTTTTTCTCGGTAACGCGTAACGATTGTTTTATCGACAATGCGTGTCGTAATAAATGTAGGTGACGAACTCTCTACAATTAATCAGCAGCCAATAGATAATCGTGGACGATATACATTGTGTTAAACAGTAACGTGTGAAGTATGTGTAAAATTACGCCACTCGGAGCAGCGTCGCTCGTTTCTCGTCGGCGTTTACACGGTCACGTAGGGCTCGTGTAAACTTGTTGAACGTTTATACGTGAAGAGCACTTAATGGAGAGTGTACTGTGTAAATTAGTAAATTTATATTTTTGGAAGAAAACGAAAATAAAAACAGCGTCAACTGAAAACGCTGGAAAATCTTCGGTGCATCTCTAAACGGCACCGCTATAAAATTGATCTCGCGATGATAAACTCCAGTTCGAGACAACTTTTATTTAAATTAGCCAATACCACTTCCTTGTTATAGAAATTTCATTCGACGTGAAGAGAGATCCTTGAAGAATTTTTTTTTAATATTAATTTACTTTTATTCAAAGAATTTTTCTCGCTTTCTTTGATTTTTAAATTCATAAAAGATTTTTTAATTTTGTTATTTTGCTATAAATATTGCCATCTTTTACACACACACACACACACACACGCGCGCGCGCACACATAGATATATGTGTGTACGTAATTTCAAAAATAAAATAGAGAAGGAGGTAAACATCTAAGAAAGATATAAAGCGCCCAGAATTTAAAAAATTCACAAGGATCCGAAGTAGACTGCAATATTTGATATCCTCCTCACGAATAAATTTCTCACTAATTAAATTTTTCAAAATATTATTATATACTTATGTGTTCAGGCTTAATTGTCTATCTTTTCTTGAATTGAAGGATAATTGCAAACATAAGATTATATAACGTCGAAAAAATAAATTACGAAAACATTTGCGTTCATCGATATTATTGCTCTACTCGAAGAAATCTTCCGGGATGAACTAAATACGTATCCACTAAACGGTTGCGTATTATACACGTCTGCACGAAGATCCTCTGCAAACAGGCGCTGCACTTGCAACAGGCTGTGCATTTCGCGAATAGTAGATTAAAGTACTTCTCATTTATTATGTTACCTTTGTAAATCTGCATTTGCATAGAACTTTTGCGAATTGAACGTTACCGCAATTTCATGCATGTAAAATGCGTTTCAGCGAAATTATGCTTTAATCGTTATACAACCAACCAACGTTACGCGGAAGTGGTTACGCGTCTTTCTTATTATCTGTAATGATATTACTAATAACAACTACAATGTATGAGTATTAACAAATTTATTAATGAGAATAATATATTATTGCGACAGTAATCTATGTAAGTGTTGTGAATAATGAGATAATATTGTTGCTGTGATTAACTTTAAGATTGTAAGTAGTAGGAAATAGAGAACCACTGTTAGGTGTCACTGTCTCGATTCAATAAATGTTATTTCATTTTAATGCCAAATCAACATTCTTTATTCATAATACTATCTTCCACACTAATACATAAATTTTCATATAATACATTGTAAAATAGTAAAAAAATATCAGATATATATATAAACTCTATAATAAACTATTTATAATAATGCTGCACAACTTAATTAACAATTATTAATTATATTTTAATTCAGTTTCATAAAAAATAACATTAATATACTTTAGGTATACACATATTAACATAAAAATAAACAATGATTAAACAAAAATAAAATTTTCATATTAAAAAAATATAAAAGAAGAATTCAGAATATTAAAACGTTCAATAGAGACGTTGTGCATCATTGTTGTAATTTTATACCCCATTTTAAGAAAATATCACATTACAATATTTGATGAAGAACGAAGAGGAAAACAGGTATGTATAATATTTATATAATATTTATATAAGCTTGTACAAAGTATATCAACTGTGATTTGCAACTTAAATCAATCTTTAACCAAGATTGATTTTAATAATATTATAAAATTTCATTAAATAAAATTATGTATATATATATATATATATATAGAATTATTTTAAATAGACTAAATTAATATTAAAAAATTGCAAAATTTTTGTTCAAAATTATTACATACCATATTAGCAGCATTAGATATATGTTTATAATATCTATAATATTATATAACTTTTATAATATCGAGGCCGGTGAGATCTTCTTGTATGTCTTTCGGCAAAATATTCATCCTGATGGTCATTTAGTAAAGATACTGTTTCTGTATCACGTTTTAATTCTGTTTTAAATTTTTTCTGACAACATAAAGAAGCATACGATTGTATAATAAATCGTACTGCTATTAGAATACTCCAGACAATTATCAAAGTTACATCTGAAAAAAAAAAAACAGAATGAATAGAGCATAATATCGAGTTATTACAGTTAAGCTACGAAGACATACCTGCACTTTGAAATGGAGGATATACGAACGCTAAATTAAATCCAGATATAGTTATCCTCCTGATTATGTTGATAATAATATATTTCAAATTACTTCCAGTATAATAATCGATCGCGACGATTACGAAATAAGATCCGAAAATCGCACGTGCAATAATTTCAGCAACATAGGATATTGTCATCAGAAGTGCAGTCGTGACAAATATTAGGCTTATGAACATAGACCAGAATAACCAATTGTGTTCCAAGACATAAAACATCCACGCTAGAAGAGATCAATAAGTTATCAGTGAGAAACCGAGTCAAAATGTTTGAAATATTATTGAGAATAAGATCCAAATCACCGAAACATTTTTTAATATGAATCAAGACGAAATGATAAACCAATTAACAATCGAATGTCCCATATTTCTATTGCTGTAATTTCAATGTATGTCGCGTGTGAAAATTTTGATTGTCTAATTAACAGACGCCCAGATACATCATAATCATTCGTTTTACGCTGGTGTACAGGGTGAATGCGGTCGACTCAGAGTAAATAGCGATCGCGATCATCTGTCGACGGGATAGAATTGGGTCCGAATCGCTGCTCCTGTGCAGTTGCGCATGCACGCATCACGTAATCTAAATAGG